CTGCCAACAATGGGCTCGAACATCAGAACAATATCAGGGTGGCACTGGACTGGCCTGTGTTTCATTCTGTTGGACACAGGGTTGCTGTGCATCAGAACTTGCTCACGCACAACTAACACCAACAACGCAGAGTATAGGTCTCAGGAAATATGGCTTTTATAGAGGAAAGAGACAGGGAAAGGGGAATGTGTGTAGGAGTCTTAAGATAAAATCTTGAGCTAATTTAATACATAAGCAAGGGAGGGTGGGGAGGGGGCTGAAAGCCAACAAGAGTCTCCAGGAGTCCAAGGTCTGAGGCAAGCAGAATTCTGGAAAGTGCAGAAACAGACATTAGAGACTTGCTGACCTCTGAATCTCTGGGTGTTTTTTGTTTTGTTTCTAGTGTAAATGCAGGCTTTCGTTGATTCCACAAACATTTATTGAAGATGTACCATGTATCTGACACTTTTCTGGAAGCTGGGATACAGCTATGAGCAAATGGACAGCAATTCTTTTCCTCCTGTAGCTGACTTTGATGTAGTGGAGAAGAACAGTTGTTTCCTTGTGCTGACACACTTCCCTTCTACAAAATGTTATTTCAGAGTTGCACTGCTGAATCTGATTCAGAGGAGAGGATGAGACCAGCCACTGTGAGGGGTCCTTCTGGTACAATCCACTGTGGCATGGGTTAAATGGGGATGTTAGGAGAGAGGCCCACCCTATGTGTGCGTAGGAAGATATCTTGAGGGACATCCCAAAATGTTTCCACTTAAATAAATGAGTTAGTAAAACTACTTGAATGAGTAAAATGCTAGGAAGATATTCATTCATTTGTTAGTTATTTATTATCTCTTGTGACATGCAGTTTAGTGGACTCAGACTCAATGACCTTAAGTGCAACAAAATGAAACATTGCTTAGGCCTACTTCATCCTCATAATCGTTACTGTACTGGGGTCTGTTGTTGTCACCACTTAGTCAATCCATCTCCTTGCAGGTCTCCCTCTTTCTCAATGACCCTCTGCTTTACCAAACACACAGAACAAACAAAGTGAGCCCCGCACAAAAACTAGTCAAGTGTGGGCTCTGTCGGTGTGGCAGACACAAGTGTGACAGGACATAGACCAAGGGGAAAAGATAGGATGGTGAGAACTTCTTGAGGATAGTTGAAGCCCATTGTTTTGAATTTTCCTTTTACCAGTACGGGTTGGATTTCATTCTTAATAATTGAGTTTGTTAAAACTACTAAATTCTCAACATACCTAAGCACAAACAGTATTCTTATTCAGGTAAAATATAGTGATTGTTACTGTGACCTTGGATGTCTACCATGAACAACTCTTATAATAATTTGTTTGCATATAGTATCTTTACAATGATCTTGATTTTTCAGTTGCACAAGTCAGGTCATATGGAGGGTTTTTTAAGTTAATTAGTCGAGCTGTGATGTAAACCTAGGTAACTTGGCAACAGAGCCTACCTGGATAACTTCCACACCTTGCTGCCTGACATTTGGCTAACTGGAGCACATTCAACGTAATCATCTGCGTCTTTTGAATCCACAATTTCACCAGTTATAGAATTGTTGAATAAATAAAAATATGTACTTGATCAGTTGAAACATTATAGAAATATTGAATAAATAAAAATATGAACTTGAAACATGTCCGAGAGGAATTACTGAGAGGTGAATGACAGGTAATCATGATGGTGGGGCAGGAAGAAAGGAAAAAAAGAAAAAGGTAAGAAGAAAGTAGAAATTGTATATATATAGGTATAAATATAGGTATGTTTATATAAAGGTAGGTATATTTGACCATATATGTGTGTGTGCAAGTCAAACAAGGAAGCCAGTGGACTTTGGGCCTCTACTCAAATCTTACCGCTGTACAAGAACAGTGTGTTCTAATAATTTAGCACTGTATGGTACTCCCCTTTCTGACAGGATCACTGAAGACAAAATGGTGATAAAGAAATGTGGGGAAGAAAGGGGATGATGCCTGGCTATTAAAGATACAGCACCTGGGGTTCAAGTCTTAAAGGCTTGAAGTTAAACAAGAGGCCATCTAGCAGGGAAGCCATAAAGCCCACATCGAGGAAGCACACCAGCTTGTGTGATCACGAGGTGTCGACGGGAATAGCTATCAGAAGTTCAAAAAACAAGCAATCAAATTGACATGAAGGAGTGTGGACTAAATGGAGACCCACGACCCACCTGTAAGATAGTTGGACAGTCCCTCACAGAAGGGATGTTAAGTCCTGGGTGTGGTATAGCACTGATTAAACACATAATAATCCTCTAGCTCTGTAATATTTTCTCCCTTCACTATTATGGTTCTTGTTTTATCTCATTAATCTTTTGAGACATGAATATGTTCATTTGTACAAGATAACCCTTCAGAAACAGTAATGGAAGTAATGATTCCCTGAGGGTATGGGAAGAGAGGGGGCAAAAGTGGGAAGGGGGAGCTGATAGGAATGATGAATGTATAACCCCATTCGAGGAAATGAACAACAGAATTGTAGGTGAATGGATATATTAAATGGTGTAAGATAATGACAATAATAATTATATAACATAACAACAAGGGTTCCTGGTGGGGATGGGGGAGGGAGGGCCTAAAGGGGAGTTAATATCAAGGGATTCAAGAAGAAAGAAAACTTTAAAAATAAATCATTTTATTGGGGCTCTTACAGCTCTTCTAACAATTGCATCAAGCACATTTGTATATATGTTGCCATCATCTTTTTCAAAAGTTTTTCTTTCTACTTGAGCCCTTGGTATCAGCTCCTCTTTTTTTCCTCCGTCTCCTACCATGCCACCCATGTGAACCCTTGATAAATTATAAATTATTACTATTTTCATATCTTACATTGTCCACTATCACCCTTCACCCATGTTTCTGTTGTTAGTCCTCCCTGGGGGGTCGGGGAAGGGTGTTATACGTTGATCATTGCAATGTGTTCTCCCTTTCTACACAAGAAGGAAAACATTTTGAATCTGCTGTTGGCAGCAACTATGCAATTATGCTTGATCTAATTGGATTATGAATAGTTGCAACATCTGTAAGAGCTCCCAATAAAATGATTAATTAAAAAAAGAATGCTTTGAAATTAATTGGGGTAGCAATTGTACAATGTTGCTTGATGATATTAAACTGTGGGATGATATAGTATCTATATTAGAACCCAATAAAATTGTTTTGGGGGAAAAAACATGAGAAAATATTATAAGTAGTAGTCTTTTTTTTACTGTAATTGCTATTAAGCAGCAGAAACCGAGAGCTGATTCAACAACATGAATATTATATCTGTTAATAGAAAATACTTCGTTATTGAGTATATAAACCTTCTAATGGCCAATGGTGTAATGGCAAATCTTTGGAAGCATTTTTAGCAGTTCTTTATGTCAATTCATAACTCAGAAATGACACCAGCCTGTGTAATCATGAGGTGTCAATGGAATCAGGAATCAGGCATCAAAGAACAAGAAATCATATCATTGTGAATGAGGGGGAGTGTGGAGTGGACCCAAAGCCCATCTGCAGGCAACTGGACATCCTCTTACAGAAGGGTTGCAGGGAGGAGATGAACCAGTCAGGGTGCAGTGTAGCAACAACGAAACATATAACTTTCCTCTCATTGTTTAATGCTTCCTCCCCCCACCACTATCATGATCCCAATTCTATCTTACAAATCTGGCTAGACTAGAGGATGTGCACTGGTACAGATAAGAACTGGAAACACAAGGAATCCAGGACAGATAAACCCCTCAGGACCAATAATGAGAGTAGTGATACCAGGAGGGGAAGGGCAAGGTGGGGTAGAAAGGGGGAACCAATCACAAGGATCTACGTATAACCTCCTCCCTGGGGGATGAACAACAGAAAAGTGGGTGAACGGAGACATCGGACCGTGTAAGACATGACAAAATAATAATAATTTATAAATTATCAAGGGCTTCTGAGGGGGTGGCGGGGAGTGGGGGGGAAATGAGCTGATACCAAGGGTTCAAGTAGAAAGAAAATGTTTTGAGAATAATGATGACAACAAATGTACAAATGTGCTTGACACATGGAGGGATGTATGGATTGTGATAAGACTTATATGAGCCCCCAGTAAAATTATTTTTTTTAAAGAAATGGGCAGCCTGGTCTGATGTAACCAGACAAGAACAGGAAGGCTAGCAGGACAGGGTTACAAGAATGGCCCAGGAGAATCAATGGCAGCTGGTGACAACTGCATTTAAAAGAATCATAATTTCCAAAAATCATCAAATGTTCTGGGAGTGTTTATTTCCCCATCTGTGTGAACAAACTGAGCGTTGGTTCTTTCCCTGCTGTTGAACAGCTCCACTCTTCAGCTCCACTCTGCTGTTAATCCTGTTGGCTGCTTGGAAAAAGGAGAGGAATTGACTCTCTCCAAACTTCACCTCTTCCGAATGCTTCTTCTATCCATAATCTCTTCATGGGCATTCCTCTGCATAACCCTCCCCCACGCCCTGGTCTTCAGAGCTCAGGCTGCATTTTTTGTTTGTTTGTTTCCCATCTGGGGCAGCTGTTCCAGCCTCTCTCCTTCTGTCAGTCAACACACTTGGGCTTATCATGTACTATGTGCCATGCTGTGTGGTGGGCACTGGGTTAAAGGGAGGTACCCCAAAGTGCTCACAGCCCAGACCTGTGAGGGAAGGGAAAGCCCTACTGAGGATCTTATACGAATGGAAAATAGAGACAAACATGAAATGGAGTGTTGTTAATGGTGCAGTAGATGTAGATTGATGGGACATCTGTATAGTCTTGAAGACTAGTAAATGGAAGGATCTACAGGAGCTGAGAGAGACAAGGCTATTCCTCTAGAGCTCATGTGTGTGCACATATGGGGGGGGACAGGGTGAAGAGAGAGACAGAGAGATATTACATCTATCTATCGACACCCTTAATTTAGACCCTTTGGCTTCAAACCACCACTTGTCTGTCAGTTTGTCCTACTGTACTGCGGTGACTTGTGTGTTAATACATTGCTGGAAGCCATGTCACTGGTATTTCAAATACCAGCAGCATCCCTCAGAGTGAACAGGCTTCCGCAGAAAATTCAGACTAAAAAGAAGGAATAAGCTGTCTACTTCTGAGGAATTAGCCACTGAGAACCTTCTGAATCACAGAGCTGGGATGGCAAGACGTTGTCCTACATATGTGGACTTGTTGCCAGGAGGGACCAGCCCCTGGAAAAGGACAATTGCTTGGTAAAGTAAAGAGACAGTGAAAGAGAGGAAGCCCCTGGATGACATGGACTGACACAGTGACAGGTGCGATGGGCTCAAACATAAAGAAATGGGAGGGTGGCTCAGGACTGGGCAATGCTTCCTTCGGTTGTACACAGGGTAAGCTATGGGTCAGAACTTACTTGGGGGCACCTAACAATGAAAACAACAGGCTCCAAAACTGTGATACAACAATTCCTGTTCTGTAAAGCCACCCATTGGTGGTTATTATTTTGTTCCGGCAGCACCAGGTAACTGAGCCACTGGATTGAATGGCCCCAGGAAGCAACCAGAAGCCTTGTTCTTCACAATGGAAGCTACTCAAGCTGGAGATGAGAGGACTCAGAAGGAAATACCTTTTGCCTTCAGCTCTGAAGAGTGGTCTGGACAGACCAGATCTACACAGGAGTAATCAAAGAATGTGAACAAGAATAAAAGAGCCTTCTTGTGGGGAAGTGAGCTCCCCATAGCTGGGAGTGGAGAGCAGATGCCTGAGAGGTGACTGACAGCAGGTACAGATTCATCTAACAAGGCTTTATGCCATGACTTGCTCATACCCTCAACTCAAACCCTCCCTGCTGACCCACTGCCAGAACCCCTAGTTCCTACCTCATACTTGTGTCCGAAGAGCCAGTGAGAGGGAGGTGACGGGAACTCCTGCAGAACTTTGAGCAGCCACTGCCTGCGCATGTAGAAGTGGGCCACGTTGATCAGCAGCAAAACCAGGCTGAGGAGCAAGGCCACTTGGAAGAGTCCCGAGACAACTCCTAAGAGTCCCATGGTGCTCAACATGGAGATACTCGTGGTGCAGCTGGATCACAGACTGTCTCACTGCCTTTGACAACCCCAAGTCTAGGAAGGATTGTCCCTCCCACCTTTTGGGAGGGGAAAAGAATGAGGGCAGATCTCAGTTTGGCTTTGGATGATTGATGAGTAGTGAAAGGTCACCTTAGAAAACAATTGGAGAACTGTCTGCGATAAGTAGTTAATCAGAGGCTGTGGCATACTTTCCCCATCTCAGTTTCCTCAACCAACATATAACGAAGGCTTACAGAGTGTCATCCAGCATGCTAGGCGCCAGGACAAGGCTGCAAGCAAAAGAGTCATGATCCCTGACTTCAAGGGCTTCAAGTGTAATTTATCTAAGTTTCAGTGGATGTGCTGGGTTGTTGTTATGCTATTGTAAAGGTGAGAAGTCTAGAGCCTGAGCTATCCAATGATATCACTGGAGTGAAACAGCTCATGAGAAACTAAATGGGAAGAGAATCATCTCTCTTTTCCTCCAAAGCAGCACACACCAGTTGACTCTGAAAGGCTTCTTGATGTATCCCAGACCAGTAATCAAACTTAACCTGGGGTCACTGTGGTGAGTGAACAGAATTCTGCACTTAGAAGTCCCAAGATCCGTGTTCAGCCTCTCTGCTTACAAAGCTTAGACTCTTACACTGCTTAAAATCTCTTAGCTTTTCTTCTTTGTAGAGGGAAAATTTTACATGGGACTGCTCATTGATTTCTGGATATATAGGGACAATAACTGATGCAATGGTTTATCTGAAAGGGGTAGGGGAGTGTGGAGGGCGAGGGGAGTTGAGGAGCAATTAATAATGCAGGAGTGGGGAGGGAGCATTAAAACTGTGATAATGTACATAAATTCTATTTAAAAGTGATTTAACTATGGAAGTGTCTGATATGTGAACGTTATTTCAAAAAACTACTGAAAATATAAGGGAAATCGGGTTTGAAGGATAATTAGAAATTCACGGAGTAGAAAGTACAAGAAAGAAGGACTGAAAGACTGGACTCAGCAAGGTCATGATGGTAATATGTGAAAGACCAAGTAAGGAGGACACATCAGTTTTGAAATGTTTTGTAGTCCCTTCTTAATAATTATCTCCCCATATCAAGTCCATGTACAAGAGTCCAGAAATTAAAACATGAAAAAATATTCCAAGAAGAATAACTTGGAAGTCAGCTCTCCCAGGGGACAAAGTTTTACCTTACCTACTTATCACACATATACATTTATAATGAATGCCCTCATCCTTGTCCTCCCTGGTGTTAGCTAAGTCATTACACAACACATGGTATCAAAGTTGTTTTTTGTTCCATAATTCCTGGGACTCTGCCCAAAGCCACAGGCAGTTAAGCACGTACTTGCATAACACAATACCTCCAGTTGTCTGTCCCTTCTGTGATCTCCACTTCTCACATTTCTATGGTGACAATCAGCTTCTCTTTTCCCCTAGTCCCTAGAAGAAAAAAAATTTTTATTACTGTTGATAATATATACAAAAAAACAGAGGTAAATTCAACAGTTTTCTACATGTTCAATTTAATGACACTGATAATAGTCTTTGAGTTGTGCAGCCACTCATTCATACCCTCATTTTGGGGGCCTGTCCCTTCCCCAGCATTCCGTGATGCTCACCTTCCGGACATGATCGCTGAAGACAAAATGGGTACATAAGCAAATGTGGTGAAGAAAGCTGATGGTGCCCGGCTATCAAGAGATATAGCATCTGGGGTCTTAAAGGCTTTAAGATAAACAAGCGGCCATCTAGCTGAGAAGCAACAAAGCCCACATGGAAGAAGCACACCAGCCTGTGTGATCATGAGGTGTCAATGGGATCAGGTATCAGACATCAAAGACCCAGAACAAAAAATCATATCATTGTGAATGAGGGTGTGTGTGGAGCTGGACCCAAATCCCATCTGTAGACAATTGGACATCTCATTACAGAAGGGTCACAAGGAAGAGACGAATCAGTAAGGGTGCAGTGTAGCAACGATTAAACATACAACTTTCCTCTAGTTCTTTAATGCTTCCTCTCCCTCACTATCATGACCCAAATGCTACCTTACAAATCCAGCTAAACCAGAGCATGTACATGGGTACAGATAAGACCTGGAAACTCGGGGAATCCAGGACAGATAAACCCCTGAGGACCGATATTGAGAGTAGTGATACCAGGAGGGTCTGTGGTGGCTTGTATGTTGTTCTAATGCTGGAAGCTATGTCACTAGTATTTCAAATGCCAACAGGGGCACCAAAAGTGAATCGGGTTTCAGTTTAGCTTTCAACTTAAAAGACAGACAATAAAGAAGGACTTGGCTCCTCATATCAAATAAAAGAGCCACTGAAAACCTTAGACACAGCTTCAAGCATTGTCAGATATTAAAGTCATAAAATATAGAAGCAGGACATTGTCAGAGATAGTAAGGACGGTTCCCTCAGGTTGAAGGGCACTCAAATTGTTACTGAGGAGGAACTGATCTCCCAGAGTGAAGTTGACCATGGTGACTTGAGTTGGGAAAAGCCTATAGGACTGGAACTTTATTTGTTGATGGGGGCAAGTGGGGATTAAGGAAACAACCCAAGTTCACCCGAGCCTCTATCTTCTTGGGAGGTCAGCTGAATTACTTCCACCTTCAGTTCCCAACAGTCTTTCTTCCTCCTTCCAACCTCCAATCATTTTAAGCATCTCATCCACAGTAAAACGTTTTCCACCACTGTTCCCCAACCAGGGAAGAGACTTGAGAGGGAGCGATCATTCTCTAGACTTCCAACAGCATCCTGAACCACCAGTCCCACACTCAGCAGCCTCTCTGCTGCAGGCACGTCTGCTACCTTAATACTAAACCTATAAATATATGTACATAGATATATTTCTCTATCGCTATATACAAATATATTTCCATATGTGCCTGTATGTAGACCTCTGTAAATGCCCTTTGCCTCCTAGTTTTTTCCTCTATTTCCTTTTGCTTTCCTCTTGCCCAACTATCATGTTTTGCCTTCATTTGGGTTTCAGTAATTCCTCTCGGTTACATTGCCCTTGATCATGCCTTACCAGGCATCCTACGCCCTCCTCGCTGTTGATTTTAGATCACTTGTTGTTCCCTTGTCCCTGGTTTTGTTAACACCCACTTCCTTTCCCCCACCTCCCCCTCTCCCATGTCCACTGGAACCATTGATCCTGTTGTTTCCTCATCCAGATGGTTTATCCCGCCTATCTTATCTAGATAAACATGCAGAGAAAATAATAAGCACAAAAACAAGACAGGGCCAAACAAAATAACAAAGGAAAACAAAGCAACAACTACCAAAAAAAAACGACTACAAAAAAAAAAGGCCGATAAATAGTTCAAAGTCTGTTTCTTGACCTTTAGGAGTGTTTTCCAGTTGAGTCTGATGGGATGCCACACTCTGGCCCCAAAGTCTATTTTTTATATTCCCCTGGGATTTCATTGCTTTGCTCCCCTTTGCTGCTCTGTTGCACACCTTAGCGTTTCACCCAGGAGTGGTAGAATCAGACCGAACACAATCCCTGCACTGTGCCTCCAGTGTTGTCCCTCATAACACTATGGGTCAGTGAGGGCATCATGTTTCGTGGTGGGGCTGGCCCTATGGTCCTCTGTGAATTGGTTCCTCTGGGCAGGAATATCGTCCTCCGGGCTTGGTGGGCCAGGGTGTGTTCTGTTCTCTCTCCTTCCCACTTTCTTTGCTTCTGTGTGCTCTGATAAGACATGCCCCTCTCCCTGAGCTGTAGCTTCAGTGTTGTCCTTTGAAGTGAATTATTCTGTGGGGAGGGGGCAGGGTGTCCACATAGTTTGGATTGGGGCTTGCCCCACAGACCTCTCTATGAATTCCCTGCTTCGTGCCAGTTTGTTGCATTCACATCTTGGCACACTGAGTTGAAGTCTGGTCCCTCTCACTCTCTCCTGTGGAGATATAAACAACACCTTCCTCTTGGGTGGGTTAGTGCCCTGTTCCCCCGCTACCCATGTCTTTTTTCCCCTCTTTTCTTCTTCTTCTTAGTTGCCTGCCATATGTATCCCTGGATTGGGTCTGGCCCCTGCTATACTACCTGGACCTCACCCCAGGAATGTATGTAGCCTTTTCCCTATGCCCCTTTTGCATTTTTAAGCTTACCTCAATGGACTCATGTTGTACTTGACTTTTTGTGCGTGGCTTGCTTCGCTTAGCATACTTTCCTCTAGTTCTTCCCATGAGGCAGTGTGCTCCATGTGTTCATCACTGCTTTCCTTGTCTGGGAAGACTCTCACTTCTCCATCTATCTTAATAGATAATTGGGTCAGATACAGTATTCTTGGGTTTGTGTTATTTTCCATCAATTTTTGGAATATGTTACTTCACTCCCTCCTCTTCATCGTGTCGGTTGATAGGTCTGAACATATTCTTATCTGGGTACCTTTATAAGTAAGTATTTGTTTTTCCCTAGCTGCTCTTATGATTTTCCCCTTTTCCTCATAGTTGGGTAATTTAACTATTATGGGTCTTGGTGACCTCTTCTTGGGATTCTTTCAGCCTCCTGAGTGGTTGACTGATTTTCATTTATTAAGCTGGGGAAGTTTTCCTCAAAGAATTCCCTCACTTTTTTTTGCTGTTGACTTCTTTGTTGTGTCTTGTTCTGGTAGTCCAATTATTCTAATACTGTTCATCTTCATAGCATCAGATATGGCTTTCAAGTTTTCTTCAGCTTCTCTGATTGTTTTATTTGACTGCTTTTCCCATTTGTTGAAGCCTGCCTGGTTATCTTCTAGGTCACTGGTGTGATTCCCTGTCTCCTCAAGTCTGTTGGCAAAGTCTGTTAATTTGCTATTGGATTTTGTTATTTCATTCCTTAGGTCTTGTATTTCCCTTTGGTGCATTGCCTTTATCTCCTCTATCATTTTGTTCTTTTTCTCTATTGCTTCCCTCATATCCTGTATGACTCCAAGCAGCATTCTGAAGATATCTTTCTGTGGCAGGTCAATGTCTGCTTCTTTGATGTATGTCATTAGGTTCATGACTTCTTCTAGCATTGTCTTCTGTTTCTCCTGCTTTATCATTGAGGCTGTTGGGCTGGTTGCTGTTTATGTGTTGTTTTAGAGAGCCTGGCGCCATCCTCCAGAGTCAAATTGCACTGGGTTCTCTCTTGGGGGACTCTTATGAGTGCTTCTTCAAACTACCTGCAGGTAGCTCCACTGGGGGGTCAGGCTATTGCTCTATCTTCCTGTGATTTCACTCTTACTTTTGCCAACCATTATTCCATTATTTGGAATGTGAGTTGGATAGTCCTCTCACGGGATGCTGGTCGGGTGGTTGGGGGCCACGCGGATGGTGTTTCTCTGGGTGATCTCCCAGGAAGCTGTATTGGTGTGTCTCACGGGGCTCGGAGCACCTCAGATGGTGCTTCATTGCTTCTTATGGATGCATAGTACTCCATTGTATTTATGCACCACAGGTGTTTTTTTTAATCCATTCGTTTGTTGATGGAAATTGGGGTTGTTTCCAAGTCCTTGCAATTGTGAACTCTGCTGCAGTAAACATTGGAGCACAGATGTCTGGCCGTGGCTCACTTCTTGCCTCTTCTGGGTATATGCCCAGTAGGGGGATTGCTGTGTGTATGGTAGCTCAATCTCCATCTGTTTTAGATATCGCCAAATCATTTTCCACAGTGGCTGTGCATACCTACAGGTCCACCAGCAGTGGATGAGAGTCCCTAGCTTACAATAGCCCCTCCAACACTTGTTGCTTTCTGATTTTTTGAATTGGGCTATCCTTGAGGGTGTTAGGTGGTATCTCAATTTGCCTTTCTCTTATGGCTAATGATCAGGAACATTTTCTCATATGTTTATTGGCCATTCAGATTTCTGCCCTTGTGAAGCTTCTGTTCAGGTCCTTTGCCCACCTCCTCAGTGGCAATTAGTTGTTTTGGGGTTTTTTGTTTTTTTTTGGAACTTAGTAGAGTATTGTAGATTTTAATAATATGACCTTTGTCTGTTGTGCCATTGCTAAATATGTTTTCCCAGTCTGTGGACTCTCTTATTACTCTCTTGGTGAATTCTTTCTATGTACACAGGTGTTTCACCTTCAGTATATACCCCTTGTCAATTTGTGCCTCATATGTATTTGTGTCCTTCCCTATTTCAAACAGCCTATGTATTCCCTGTGCCAAAGTTCTCAAGTTTGTCCCAATTCCCTCATTAATGACCCTAATAGTTTGGGGTTTTACTTCAAGATCTGTTATCCACCTTGAGTTTATTCTTGTGCATGGAGTGAAGTAAGGGTCTTGCTTCATTTTTCTGCAGGTAGATATCCATTTAAATTGGGTTTCCTACTCTTCAGCTGTCTGCAGAGCCAGATTAAGTTCCCATGGGGCCCTAGGCAGATTACCAGTTTGGGGCCCCCATGCGATAACACTGAACACTGACCATTTGCATTAACACTGACAGTTGACAGTTTGCATTAATACTGAGCGCTGACCATTTGCATTAACACAGAGCACTGACTATTTGCAATATCACTGTGATGCAACCCACCTAGAAACCACCCCCAACCAACTTAAAAAAAAGACCTCCTAACTTCAGGGGAAAAAAGGCCCCCCTTAACCACAAAAAAGGCCCTAATAACTGCAACAAAAAAAATTAGCTCTCCTAACTTCCAAAAAAAAATCCTAACTTGTTCTTAGCTCGGTCCTCAGACAGCAGCAGGCTCTGCACAGGCAAGCTCATGACTCATCCAATCACACCCAAGACCAAGAGGAAGAGTTGAGAGACAGAGAAGGAGGGGAGTCGGAGTGTGCAGCGCACATTCCACACATGCACACTGCAGCCCGGGATGAGTCCGGCTGCTAAGCAAGACAGGTAGCGGTGGCAAAAAACACCCAGTAGACTGGATAAATGTCCTCAGTCAGCAGCATGTGGCCTGTGGGCCGTTGTTTGAGGACCCCTGGTGGAAGGCAAGTGGGTGTGCCTGCTTTGATGTAGAGCACCACAGATGGTGAGCAGAATTGCCCTAGTCAGTCAGATCGCCGTGTAGGTTAGGCAAAGGTTTTTGTAGTAGCGTAGAGCACTGGAGAATGTTGGCAGAGCTGCCTTAGGCTGTGTGAGGTACTACAGCATGCTTGAAGAAGTTCCCTCAGCCACATGGGACCATGGAGGATAGTCAGGTGCTCCCCCAGCTTCGAGGAACACTGTGGAAGGTGGGCAGAGGTCCCCCCAACCAAGTGAACCACCCTAAAGGGCGTGCAAGAGCTTCGCCTGGTGCCTTTGAGGGTAGGTGTGAGGGAGAGATTTCCCCAGCCGCATGTTACATGTTATGCTGCAGAGAGTGGGTGGGCGGGATTTTCCCCAAGCCACTTAAAGGGCCTTGAAGGGTGGACGTGAGTTCTCCTGCAGAGGAGGGTGAGCAGGATTTCCCCAAGCCTGGTATTATGGTATTTTTTTTTAACACTAGACCTTAAATTTATTTAAATAACTCCCAATGAGCACACAGTGGGCCAATCACTACCCTCCAGCCAGCTGTCAGCAATCGCGTGCCGAGCGGGCTGTCTCTCAATGGGGGCGGCCCCAGCCCCGGCCCGGCCTCGGACCCCAGGTGGTGGAGCGTCCACAGTGGAGCGAGGGTTCTTGATGGTTTCATCTACAGACACGATGAGGCACGCGGCCTCTGAGGCTGCCGTCAGGGCATTGACGCGCACCATCGCTGGCTCCCACACGAAGGCCTCGAAGTTGTCAGCAATGTCCTCGTTGTTGATGTCCACCCCGTACCACATGCCTTCCTGGGCATGCCGCGCGTAGCTTGTTGAGGATGTTTGTGGCATCGAAGCCCGTGTTGTCGCACAGCTGGCGTGGGATGATCTCCAAGGCCTTGGCATAGGCCCGGATCAGCAGCTGCTGCTTCCCGGGGATGGTCCTGGAGTAATCCCGAAGGTACTTGGAGAGCTCCATCTCAATGGCCCCACCACCAGCCACCCCAGAATCGTTCTTGATGGCGCGCCTGACAATCATGATGGCGTCATGCAAGGACCGCTCTGTCTCCTCCATAAACTGCACAGCACCACCGCGGAGGATGATCGTGCAGGTCTTGGCCTTCGGGCAGCCAGTGAAGAAATTGTACCTCTCGCTTCCAATCTGGGTCTCCTCGAAGCCCTGGCAGCTGCCCAGCACTTCTGCGGACAGAGCGTTCACACTGGTCTGGATGGAGCCTCCGCAGGCCATCATTGTTCTCTTCAGATCCTCTTCGGGCACTTGGCCAGCACAGAACATGTCCGGGTCAGCAAAGTACTGGGTGGCCACATCCCGGATAGGGAGTTTGGACAAGCCGACTTTGGCTCCAGAACGATGGATCTTCTCCAGCTTGTCATAGAGAATGTTCCACTCAGCATCAACAATTGCCTGATAATCCTCCACTGTGTGCACTCGGACCTCAGCGTTGTCCTCGGCTTTCCTGCGCGCGTGTGTGCCGAGAGGAGAGGCCTCCATGTGCAGAAGTGGGCCGGCTGCATCGCCGCTGTACAAAGCATGTGGTCTAACTAGTGTTTGGACAGCTGACACATTTAATCCTTTTTTGTAATACTTTGTGACATTTCTCCTCCCTTTGGCAACACTGCACATTTTAACTCTAGGCGTGATCTCTTCTGGTGTTGACTGGACTTCTTGGGGTTGGGCGGAGGTTGAGAGGAAGTGGGCAGCCAGAGACCTGCAGCAGGCAGCTTCGACGTCTGCTTTGTGCATAAGCTCTGGTGGGTGGGGGAGATGCAGCCACGCCATGAATGGACACCCCGAGCCCCGTCCACACCATCAGCGAGGTCGGGGCTCAAGCTACTGTTCTTGGTGCCAGGCATTCCAGACCCACCGGTGCCTGGCCCCCTGGACAGGCAGGGCATCTGAGAAAGAGCTCTTGGCTTGGTGCTGGTGTCGAGGGGGGAGCGTCCAGGGCTGTCGAGGAGAGAGCGAGGGCCCTCTGTGCCACAGCAGGGCCTGGCCTGACCTACCTGAGGAAGTCCAGCAGTGGGGTGCTTTATCTCTGATGGCCCTGGCATCTTGGGATCGGACTCTTTTAGAGTTGCCTTGTGTGTGTCTCCTCCAAGTCTCAGTGTCATTGGGGCCCAGGGAAGCTGGCCCTGAAGGGAGGCGGCAGGCAGTAAAAAAACCCCAACTTTTTTCATGTTTGAAAGCATCCTTTTAGGGTAGTTCTTTGGGGCAGAATCCAGTATTATCTGAAACTATTGGCAAAGTTAAATGTGTTTTCCATAACTGCAACCTTTCAGAATGTTGACAGTCATGAGAAAAGGGTGGTGAGTAAATATTTAGGCAGAGATAATTTATTTCAATAAAACTTTGAAAAAGCCTTAAAAAAAAAAAAAAAAAAGCAAAGGGAAGTGGCCTGGAGGCCAGCAGTGGTGTGTGAGAGGAAAGAGAAGAGAGAGAAAAAACTGAGCCTCCTGAGACAGTGGGGCAGGGGCGAGAGAAGAGAGAGAAATAAAAGTAAAGATATAGCTAAGCCCCAATCACCTGACCTTGGGCTGGAGGAATTTAAACCCTGCCTAGAGGAGGTGGCAAAACGTGGCTATGTTGAAGTAAAGGTCTTGGGTCGGCCAAAAGAACCCGGCTCTGGCCAAGACTGTGGCGGGGGTAAGGTTAAGCCTTAGCCAGTCTCCAAAGTGGCAAGCCAAAAGCCCATAGCTCCTCAAAACTCAGTGGATCTGTACTACTTATTTTATGGTGTTCCTCCTGTGACCCCACAGCGTGGAATTTCCCTCTCAGTTGGTCTCTTGCACTGATTTCTATGGAGTCCTTCAGGTATGTGTTACTAGGTTGCCATATTGACACAAGTCCACTATTCCTGTTAGTGAGTCATCCAAGAGTCAGGTAGCAGGGGGGTTGTGTGTCTCAGAACTACTACTGTAGAGATCCAATAGAGCAGCGGTTCTCAACCTGTGGTCACGACCCCCTTGGGGTCGAACAACCCTTTCACAGGGGTTGCCTAAAACCATCAGAAAACACATATTTCTGATGGTCTTAGGAACCAAGACACCGCTCCTCTCTTGGTCTCCAGTTGGGTCCGTCCGCATGCAGATACACCCACATAAGAGTACCCAGTGTGGAGACTGTTACCCATGCTACACCATACTTCAAGACAAAATGTCATTTATTTGGAATTAGAAATAAATAGTTCACAATATAGAATTACATATTGCTTTTGTGATTAATCACTATGCTTTAATTATATTCAAATTGTGAGGTAGTTAGTTTATTGTGCCAACCTGGCTGATAAACCCATGTGGGATTAATTGAAAGGCAGAGGGATAAATGGTTCAGTGAGCCTCGCCTTTCTAATTCTTGAGTCACTTGCTTTCTGATGGTTGGACCAGGGTACAGCTGCCGGTTCCCTGCTTTAGCTGGCAAGGCTCACTTCCTGCAAGACATCTCTGAGGAGAAGCCACATGGACCTACCCTGATGCAACCCTGGGTGCTGGAGCACCTTGGTGGAGACACCTGCCAGCGCTGAAATGCTTACACATTCACTGACTCAGCTTTCCTCCTGCAGTTGGCATCATTGCATCTGTTTTGTGAGATAGGGGAGGATTTGTGGATTGGTGCTGGACTTATGGGCTAATTTTGGACTTGTGGGCTTGGGCAGTACTGGGTTGGGATGTTTTCTTGATGCACACTTAACCTTTATATAAAACTCTCTTATATATGAGTTTCTGTGGATTTGTTTCTTTAAAGTACCCAGACTAACATAATTTGTAACAATGAAAATACATCCTGCATTTCATATATTTACATTATGATCCATAACAGTAGCAGAATTACAGTTATGAAGTAGCAATGAAAATAATTTTCTGGTTGGGGGTCACTACAACATGAGGAACTGTATTAAAGGGTCATGGCATTAGGAAAGTTGAGACCCACTGCAGTAGAAGATGATGGCTTTGGGGCCCAGAATTCTATGTGCCAAGAATTTTTTCAAGCCAGGAGGCACTGGACACTGGAAATAGCATTAGAAATCCAAATCTATTGCACAAGAAAGGTGAGCACTTGGGGGCAGAAAGGTTGTTGGCAGAAAGGAGTGATTCTAGGCACTTGATGGAGCTGAGTTTGCCCACCCATGAAGCTAGAGTTGTGTGTCTTTGATCCAAGGCTTAAGAAGCAGGGGACAACATGATTTAAAAAGGAAAGAAAATTATGATGGCAACAAATGCACAAATGTGCTTGACACAATGATTGGATGTATGGATTGTGATAAGACCTGTATGAGCACCCAATAAAATGCTTAAAAAACAAAAAGCAAAAACAAACAAAAAAGAAGCAGGGGACAATGTTGGCCAGAATTCTGGGAGGGGAACCAAGGACCCATGCTCTAACCACAGGATTCCAAGGATATGGTGAAAGCAACTGGGAAGTGACCCTGCTGGCTGCAGAAAAGAGGCAAGGCTCAGACTGAGTGTACACCATGAACATCATCCCCCTGCCCCTTGACACACATCCAGAGAAACACTACAGCCAGCAGGTATACATACCACATCCACACCCTACACTCAACCCAAACACATGAGCAGACAGACATCCTGGATCACAGAGAGTTTGAGAGTTGGACTGAGGAAAGTGGAATTCAATGGAGGCATCTGTAGGTCCATTTTCAGACCTCTTGTGATGCTCCCACTTATCTTTTGACTACAATGCTCTCCATTACACACACACACACACACACACACACACACACACACACCACTGAAACCTGTTCTCAGGGGAATTTTCAGTATTAAGTGTGGACTCAGAGGTCCTCAACTCAAGGTGATGCTGAATTGGGAACATGTCCTCCATCTGTCCTGCTTCTCAGACCTCTTGAAAGCCATACAAAAAGTGAATGTGTTTCTCCCTTCTAATCTGATGATTCTGTGCCCAGTATCCCCAGTTGCTGTCGTTTAGACCAAGGTACTTACCAATTGGTTCAGCTCTCAGGTTACAGAAATGGCATGGCAAAGGCATATGACCTTCTAACTTCATAAGGGGATAAACAAAAAATCAAATTCACTACCACCAATGCTGAGCCATAGCGACCCTCTGTGGGTCTCCAAGACTGTAACTGTTTATGGGAGTAGAGAGCCCAGTCTTTCTCCCTCTGAGCTATTGGTGGTTTTGAACTGCCAATCATACAGATCATTGTCCAACACTTAGCCACTACACCACCAGGGCTCAAAATCAACAGTTCCAGGCTGATTCCTTCGAGGTGGAGCTCAGCCATGCCTTCACTGTCCAACATGTTTACTAGTTCTGACACCAACTGTCTCGCTGAGGCACTTTCTACTTCTCTGCTGGGTTGGATCATTCTTTGCAAGAGTCCCACAGACTCAAATACAGTAATCACAAATCTGTGCTTTATTAGGGAAATAATAGGTTACAATTCAGGACCAGAAATAGCTGAGAATATAGTTCTTCAATCAAGACAGCTTCTTCCCAGCACTGCCCACAGACACATCTCTCTCTGGCCTTTGACTTCTTAGCCCTATGACTCCGTGTCCTCTACTCTACTAGGACAAATACTTTCAAAGTTCTTTTAGCTCTCTGGATATATACCTAGAGTCACTCCATCTCATCAGTAAACCTTGGATCAAAGACACACAACTCTAGCTTCATGGGTGCGGGCGTAGTCTGGATGAGAAGCCCTTTCCAGCAGGTGGAGGACAGTAGGGATATTTGTCTGTGACAGCCAGTGCCTTGAAGATCCCCTGAATTCGGAGAGGCTAGTGGAGGCAGGGACCCTCGATGGTGGACAATGATAGCCATTCCTTTGTATAGGACTCTGTCTCAGGAGGATTAGCAGAAGCAGGAAACTCATGCAGTGACAGAAAAAAATGGCAGAGAAAGGCCAGAAAGTGAACAATGGGCTGGAGGGAAGGCAGGTGATCCTGAGGTATTTAGACATTGAGAGATGCAGGTGGTGAGGATAGACACGCACAGTGATAGAGAGGAAACCTAGAGAAAGGTAGACAGAGAGAATACCAGACACAGGGGTATACCAGAGGCATGAGGTCAGGCAGGTGGACAGTTAGCAAGCCTAAAGATGAGCAGACAGGAAGGAGATAGGGATTAGGGGACAGGAGGCTAGGATGGAAGACTGCAGATTCTTCAAGGGAAATACATAGGATGTGTTCATCCTTGTCCTCACTGGAATTAGAAAGGTTTCTTCAGGTATAAGTGGATCTTATTCCTGAACTTTTGCACAATTCCTGTATCAGGGAGTGAAATCCTGTGAAGTCCAATGACAGGTCAAAGTGGACCAAGGTTAGGGCCACTTGTTCATAGGAACTTGCTTCTCAATGTTGTTCCTGGGATAGGGTGGGACAGCCAAGAGGAAGGGGGTCAGGCCTAATTGTAAGCTCACCAGGCATTGGTCACTGTATTCCCTTTAGACCTGGATGATCTTCATGTGAGCTAAGTAGCCCTGGTGGTGTAGAGGTTATGCGTGGGGCTGCAATCTGCATGATGGACCATTCAAAACCACCAGTAGCTCCTCAGGAGAAAGACTGGGCTTTCTACCCCTGTAAAGAGTCACAATCTCAGAAACCCACAGACGGGTTGCTATCAGTCATCACTGACTCGATGACAAAGAGTTTGGTTTTTAATTGACGTGGTCTAGCCCCTAGCCCTGGCCATACAGATCACATACACATTTTTTGCTCCCAAGTAGGGGCCACATTCTCCCTATACCTCTGACAAATCCTACC